CGAGCGCAGCATCCAGAGGCACGAGAAGACTGCAAAAAAACAAACAAAAAAAAGCATGAAGATAGCAGACCGCGAGCCCCAGCCTGGGCAGTTTATCAGTCTGCTCAAGTCCTCTACTGCTGCTACAAGTCAGAGCAGAAATAGCCTTGGGCCAGGAGCAGGGGGGAAATGTCGGCCAGAGGTCCGAAAATTGAAAATTGGAGAAAAGAAACATCGAGGACGTTTGCTGAAGGCTCTCAATGGACCAGCTCCTCGGACGAGGAAGGGGCAGAGACACAGAGGTTTCTACAGCGCTGCCTCCCGCGTTAGCACAAACAAAGGATTCGGGAAAGACCAACTAGGCCGAAGGGATACCGGGACGGCGTGCCGGGACCACGCTCCTTGGCAGCCACATCGCTACACTAAGAGCTGCTGCAATCTGCTACTGCTCAGGCCAGTAAAGCTGCTCCGGGCAAATAAGCAAAGCTGGGCCATGGGGGGCTTGGTGTCCCTTCCCCGATGGGCCCCGCATGCCTCCGCCTTCCCTCCCGACCCGGCGACGCCGGGGCCCGACCTAGCGGATGCTGCCGTCGCCCTCGCCGCTCTGCAGCTTCTCCCGCTCGATGGACCACACCAGCTCCTGCACGAACTTCATCTCCGAGGCCACCTGCTTGGCCAGCGCCTCGTAGTGGTTCTCCAGCTTCCGGTAGCGCCTCTTGAGGCCGTTGGCCACCTGCAGCACGCTCTTGGTCTCCTCCTGGGCTTGCTTCTTCAAGGCCTCCGTCTTCTGCAGCTCCTGCCGGATCTGGCGGAGGTCCTGGCTGATGCTTTCATTCTCCTCCTTGTACCACGACTCCTTCTCCTCGTAGATGGACAGCAGGGCCTCGATGTCCTCCCGGAAGGACTTCTTGTTCCTCTCCAGCTCCCGGAGGCTCTCCTCAGCCGTGGCCACCTCTTCCATGACCTTGGAGAAGCGCTCAAAGTTGATGTAGGTGTTGTTCGGCGGCATGCTGGAGTGAGATTTGATGGTGTACTCCTTCAGGCGCGTGGTCTTCAGCCGGCGGCGCTCGGGCTTCTTGCCGTTGTCTTCGTTGCGGACGTTCCTCCTCTTGATCACCTGCAGAGGAGAGGGACGGCCGGCGTCACGCACGGCTGGCGTCGTGCACGGGGCACAGCGGGAATGGGACCACCAGCTCGTCCCTCTGCCCCCACCTCCAGGACAGGGGAACGCAGCCACCAGCGCTGCCCCTGCACGAGGGGCTTCAACTCTTCAGCGACGAAACTCTTCAGCTCCAATTGGGCTCAAAGAGCAGTCGAGAGCTGCAAGCTCACAAACATCCCCCCAACCTCTTGGGTAACTTCTTACCTTAATCCAAGGATGCTCCAGGCTTTGAGCTATAGTCATCCGCTTCCTGCAACGACAGCAAGGCTGTGATCAGCAGGACAGAGGTTTAGCTGCCCTTTTCCTAGTTAAAACAGGGCCTGGAAAACTCAGATTTTATTGACTTTGGGGCACAGCCTCACGGATGAGTCCAGACAGATGGACAGACAAGCTCACTGTACTCAGAAGCAAACCTACAACAAGCCTACAAGAGGCAGAAAATGAAGAGCTAAAGAAGATGGGAAAAGGGATAAGTAGGATTTTTAAACTCCCAGCACAAGAGACGGACAACGGCCTTCGGGCAGACGAGTCGGGGCAGCAGCAGGCAGCACAGTCGCTCAGCTCGGTGCCCCAGCAGGGATAGGAGAGATGGGGCCACCCTCGCACGGGCCATCAGGGACACAGGGACCATCCGCCCCCCTCCCAGGTTAACTCCCATCTGCGCCCAATCTCCTACTTGGGATCCTTGACAAGCAGGCGCCGGATGAAGTCCTTGGCCAGCTCGCTGGTGTTGCTGAAATACTCCTCGTCGAAGTCGTAGTTCACGGCGGATATGTTGGTCAGGGTCTCTTGCTTCGTTTCCCCCAGGAAGGGGGAGGCTCCGCTCAGCCTGCGGCGAGAGCGACTTGTGAACGCCCCGAGCAGCCGACACGCTGCAGCGCCGTCCCCTGCCGTCACCGGGGCCGCAAGCGAGTCCGGGGCAGAGCTGCGCACGGGTGTCCCGGCTCCCTGCTCTTGCACGGATCGCCCAAACCCCGCTTATACTCACAGGATGTACGTGATGACCCCAATGCTCCTGGAAGAGAGGGAAAGACGAGGTTACGGTGCTGCCGGCAGATCGACACTGCCTGGTTGCAAGGATGTTCAGAAGAGGGCTCACTCACCACATGTCGGCCTCCAGCCCCAGCGGTTCGTAGTTCACTATTTCCGGGGCTTTCCAAGGAAAAAGGGGAGAGAAGAGACTTATTCGGGGGGAAGAATCCAGCCCCCGCGTCCCCACTAATGTGCTCAGGCACTGCCTGGCCGGGGGGAGCCCCCACTGCTCTGGGGGAGAAGGGCTGGCACAGGGCCGTCGGCTCTGCCCGGGCTGAGCCACGCTGGCAGCTTCCCAAATTGCAGGGAGATTCCCCGCTTCCGTAGCCCAGGGGATGCTTGGGATCTGCTCTGCTCCGGAGGGGCCGGCTGCTCTGCCCACCCTGCTGCGTGTTCGCACAGGTTCAGGCAGGATGAAGCCAGCAATGCAAAAAAAAATCACAAGGGGTGGTTTGAGAGAGGCGAAACCTGGCAGATTGTTGGAGACAGAGAAAGCAGAGACTTCGCTGCATGCTTGGCCAGGACACTCCTCCGCAGGCGTCTGCCACGGGGCAGGATGGACCTTGGGCCACTCACTGCGGCGCCTGCACGTCCCCATGGACAGCAGAGATTTGGTGGGGGGGGGGGTCCCGATATCCCTTTCGTTCCCGACTCACAGGGCTTCTTCTCCAGGGCTAAGACAAAGCTTTCAGAGCCCAGAAGAGCTCTGCACAAGCAACGCCTGCCCAGGACTCACCTACAAACTCCGGGGTCCCAAATATGTTTTTGAACTCGTTCCCAGCTTCAATCTTGTGGGCGATGCCGAAGTCGATGAGTTTGATGCGAGGGTTTGGCACGTTCTTGTCCAGCAGCATGATGTTCTCTGGCTGCAGAGGAAGAGGAACAGGCATTTATGGCCCCGGTCGTGCTGGCTCCCCAGCCCCACGCTCGCCCACAGGAGCCTCGCAATGCCCTGGGCACCTTTTCCCAACTAGTAAAAGGTGGGAAGGTGGAAGGATGTCTCTGCGACCAGCATCACAAGCACACACCAAAGCGATGGACAGGCAGGGTCACTCCACCAGGGCAAACAGGACCGCTCCGCATGAGCAGAAGTTGGCCTAGGTGGTGGTCTTCACTTCCCAGCTGTTAAACACGGGACCTTGATGCCTCCCCACGTCCCATGAGAACTAACAGAGAGCATCCGGACGCAGCCACAGGCAGGAGCTCCCACCCCGGGGTCCAGAGCTCACCTTCAAGTCAAAGTGAGCAATGCGCTTGGAGTGCAGATAGTGCACGCCGTCCAGGATCTGCTTGAGGAACTGGGTGGCCTCCTCCTCTGTCAGGGACTCCTTCTCGGCCAGGAAGTCGAAGAGCTCACCGCCTGAGACCAGCTCCAGGATCAGCACCACATCCGTTTTGTTCTCGAAGATGTCGTGCAGCGTGATGATGTTGGGGTGCTGGATCTCCCGCAGGATGTCCACCTCCCTCTCGATCTCCTCGCGGCTCACGCCCCGCCGGCTCGACGACAGCCGGCGCTTCTTGATGAATTTGGCCGCGTATTCCAGGCCCGTCTTCCTCTCCCGGCACTTCCGCACGATGGCAAACTGGCCACTGCAGGAGGCAGGGAGGGGGTGAGATGAGAAGACCTTCTGCATCTCGCGTGCCAGGAGCCACCTTACAGCAGGGTCTCCAATGCAGCGAGGACGACCAGCTACGCCACGGGGACGCTGCGCTTGTGCAGGAGGAAGCACGATTCCCCCAGGCCTGCTGGGATTCGGGGCGCTCCCATACACAGCCAAAAAATCCCTTGTGCTCAGCTGCCCACGCAAAACCCTGCTCCTGCAGAGCCCAGAGCAGGCTAAAACCCAAAAGCCTTCCTACGGGGACTCTCAAACAGGCTTTTGGGGCACCCCAGATCACGCCGTTTCGCTCCTCAGCCCTGTATCTCGCCTCCTGCAGGCACCAGCCTGGCTCAGCAGGAGCCGGCTCTTAAATCCCCGCGGAGCGGCACGGCGTGGGATGGAGGAAGGAAATTCCTTGCGAGGATGGGGCAGCTGCGGACCCGTCCCAGCGGTACCCGGGCAGCTGCAGATGCTATTCTCACCCTCGGTCGTGCCCATCTGCCCACGTTTTAGGCAGCCCCTGCCCGCAAGAGCGGCTGTCGGAGGGCAGAGCTCGAAACCCAGCGGTCCCCAGCTGCCCGAAGCTTTGGTGGAGCAGGGGGAGGGCAGAAAAAGAAAAAAAAAAAAAAAAAGCCTGAAATAAGAATAAGTGCAGAGCTGACGGCCTAACTGATGGATATTTCCATCAGGAAAATCTGCTACCAGCCCCAGGCAGGAGGGCTGGGATGAGGACGGGGCTTTTTGTGTTTACAGGTGTTTTAAGAGCAGGGTTGGGTCGTTGCTGCTGGCGCCGGCCAGCGTCGCCTTTACAGCAGGTAACGGCGCGCTCGG